ACAGCAATGGACACCATCTCATGTGTCTTAGCAAAGTGTCTCTGATGCTTTTCATAAACAAAATACATCCCACAGAATCCGACAAGTGAATGCCCTGCGAATCATAAACATATGCAACTGACTGACATAAGCCCGACCTATGTTTCCAAAAAGTTATTTTAGGGAAACGTTGAAACAACAATGACAAACGATAATTAGTTTGAAAAATACGATTGTTATTGTTCATCAACAACCACGTGATGTTTTATCAGTTGCGATATTATCACACCTTGGGGACAAAACGTAACAAAAATGTTTGAAGCAAAGTCCACAATGACATGTGCTAAAATATCCGGCGGCACTAACGAATCACATAAATCGTTCTAACCCAAATGAAGAAATACGATATCTGTATTTAAAAAACGGTCAAAGCCCTTATACAATCGCTGGAATCTGTCATTCAAAACGCACAACCCACCATAGCCGAAACACGAAATACAACACAGATTGAGTGGCAAATGTAAATTAGAATGCACACCACGTAAATGCGGAATTAAACGTTTGATATACGACGAACCAAACAAAGTTACCTTGATCGGAACCACAGGAAATGTGTCCGTATCCAAATCTAATGACGCAAAGTCGCGCCATGCCATCTCACAGAGCCGCCATTTTAAAAACGAGACAAAGGAATCAGGCAAGTGGTATGCAAGCAAAAGCTTAACCGACACGGAGCTCCACAGAATTAATTGTGTAAACAAAGTTGTGCAACCGACACTTTATCCAAGTTACCTGTGGAGTAAACACATGACTGTGATCTATGCTGCCATATCATAGAGTTGCCATTATGAACAGAACAAAGGAATCGTACCAGTGTCGTGGAAAGCGAAGGAGAAAGTCTAAACGACACGAAGTACCACAGAACTAATTATGTAAAACAAAAGTTTGCACCGAACGCGTTATAATAAAGTTACCTCTGAAGTAAGCAAAGCAAATAAGTTGAAATTAAGCACTGCAGGCAACACAAATATAAGCACAACTCCTTCCTCAAACAAGCACGTGCAAAGCAATAGCTAGAGTGCATCATTTGAATTAGTGAAACGAAGAATCCGATTGAATTTCAGTAATTTCTGTTAATTACTTATAGAGTTATGTCCCTTGCTTCTCAAGTTGAACATTGTGAATGCTCGAACGATGAAAATTATGATCTGATCTGTATGAAATTGTCTTGTAAATGCCCCCCTATTGCCTACAAAAGAATAAATATGCAACAACCCTTGTTGACCGCCTGGACGATTTAGCTGCTGTGGGTGTATGTTTCGTTGTCTCACAACCCATCTTTAAGTGATGGATAATGGCCCAAGACTGTCCATTATGTAAATAGAAAGAATAACTGAGGGGCATTAGCCCCGAAGTTTTTCTTTGTATTTACATAATGGACAGTCTGAGGCTATGGCTGTATGATATTGCAAAAAGGGACGATATCGATATTGGCATTTTTTTCAAAGATATTTTTTTTGCGATATTTAATAATAATGTTTCTTTGCTATTAAATAAATTAAATATAAATGCATTAAAGCTGACTACAGTGTGAGTAAGAATTTTGGGTAAGAATTGCTTTATTCATACATTTTAAACATTGCTTTTTTTATAATATAGATTTATTAAAATGAACAAAACAACATCCTTTTTGGATAAAAACGTTTCAATGCTTTTTAACACAATAGCAGGAGACATTACTTATGCCTGTACATATAATTCAATTATACTGAGCGCCATGGAAAACAAATCCCTTTTTTTTCCCAAATATTTTATTACTAGGTGGTTTTGTATGTATAAATTTATGCAATACTATGAACTATTGTTTCACACAATGCTCCCAAACGCAAAAAATATCGGCCCGTGTGCACAAAAAAAAATTGCAAGAGATGCACATGAAAAACCCAATATTCACGTGCAGCATTGTGTGTGAGCCCTTTAAAAGCATGTTTTCAACTTAATGTGCAGGACATGAACTGTGAAACGTCAATCTGTCGTAATTTTTTGTTGGACGTGTGAAGGAATCGAGCTAGAGATGCCGAGACTTACTGAAAATCAACGGAATGAAGCCATGGGAATGTCCAGGGCTGGCATGTCTACACTGCTATTGCCAGACACTTCAATTGTCATCAGTCCACTATTGTAAGGTTGGTGGAACGTGTTCGAGTTACTGGATCAACACATGACCGTCAACGTTCTGGTCCACAACGCGTTACAACCCAGGCTCAAGACCGCTACATCCGGGTCACTCATCTGCGTGACAGATTCTACCCAGCGACTCGAACAGGTGCAGCAGTCGTCGGAAGACAAGGACCAGTAAGTGCCAACACCGTAAGACGTCGTCTAAGAGAAGTAGGACTAAGTGCACGACGACCTTATGTTGGAGCTTTCCTCAGGGATCATCACCGTCAGCGGCGTTTGATATGGGCTCAAGGACACCATACATGGAGAAGAGTAGACTGGCAAAGTGTGCTCTTCAGTGATGAGAGTCGCTTTCATCTTTATCACGCTGATGGCCGTCAACGTGCGTGGAGATGTCTTGGGGAACGTCTTGCAGACTGCTGTGTCTTCAAAACGAATCGATGGGGAGGGGGAAGTGTAATGGTGTGGGGAGGCTTCACATTTCATCACCGGACCGCCCTACACATTTGCAGGGGTCGCGTTAATGCTGTAGCCTACCGTGATGATGTCTTGCAACCAAATGTTGTTCCGATGTTCTGAGCGCACCCACAACTTCAGCACTTCCAACAGGATAATGCACATCCGCATACCGCCCGTTTTAGTATGGACTACCTGGCTGCTAACAACATCAATGTCTTGGACTGGCCAGCCATTTCACCGGACATGGCACCGATAGAACATGTCTGGGATGAGATTGGACGCCGTCTGTATCGGAGACCACAGATGCACACTGTTACTGCTTTAGAAGCTGCTCTTGTCCAAGAATGGAACAATTTGCCCCAGGCCTTCTTTCAAACATTGGTAAATTACATGCGACGTCGCTGCACAGCATGCGTAAGAGCCCGTGGAGGACACAAGCGCAACTGACGTTTGTGCCGTGCTTTTGGTTTTGACCCCTCTGACTTTGTACCGTTGATTACAGATTAAACATCCATAAGTGTACAAATGCGTTGTTATTGATGTGTTCCCATTTGAATATTGTTCACAATAAGAAGGAAAATAAATAAGATATGTTTACAGGATCATTTTGTTATACGAAAAACTAAGTGATGCGTTTTCCATGGCGCTCAGTATATATTAGTTTTGGAATTTTGAATATTATTCACCATGTCTTAATATCCAATTGGGCATATTCCCGTTCGGACAATTTTGGGCGTTTGGAAAATAGCGTCCGAAATATATCGGCAAAATTCCATCCCTGGTAATATATATGATAACAGGGGTTAATATCAATATTACGTGGTATTTAAGTACAGAATTATACTGATTGACACCAACATACTCAACCTTTAATACAAGTTATATTTATAGCACGGCTTTCATGAGTTAAAAGGTTTAACCAGAGGCCGAAGTCTGAGAGGTTAAACCTGTTAACGAATGAAGCGTGCTATGAAAGACTTGTAACATTGTCAACTGCTCAAGATGCTTATTGTTATTGCACAAAAAACCCACCCCACTTCTCTATATGATACTAAAACTCGTGTATACCAACAAAAGTGTGCAATAACATTAATATTGAACATGTCTAGTTAATATGCGTTTGACTTTAAATTTATACACAGTGTTTAAGGTCATGAGACGAAGAAGCCTATTGATTTTCAAGGATTTTCGATAATTACTGCCAGAGTTATGGCCCTTGATCACTTCAAAAAATCTTGTGGACGCTCTAGAGGTCAAAGTTAATATCTGATTGACTTTAAATTTATACACAGTGTTTAAGGTCACGAGACGAAGCCTAGTGATTTTCAACGATTTTCGATAATTACTGCCAGAGTTATGGCCCTTGATCACTTCAAAAAATCTTGTGGACGCTCTAGAGGTCAAAGTTAATATCCGATTGACTTAAAATTTATACACAGTGTTTAAGGTCATGAGACGAAGAAGCCTATTAATTTTCAGCGATTTCCGATAATTACTGTCAGAGTTATGGCCCTTGATCACTTTGAAAAATCTTGTGACGCTCTAGAGGCTAAAGTTATCATCCGATTGACTTCTGATTGATACACCGAGTTTAAGGTATTGAAACGAAGAAGTATATTGATTTTCAATGAATCTTTATGACTTGAACAGCTAAATCCAAGATGTTAAAAGTTTTGTATACTAAACGTTAGCATGGGGACGAACTTTATAAAAACCAAACAAATTCTAATGGTTTTCTGATAATTACTCAATGAGTTGTTACTCTTAATTAGATTTTAATGTATTATAAATGTTTCATTACCGAAAAAAGTAAAAATATGTGACAACTCTTGTTGACTGCCCAAACGATATAGCTGCTGTGGGCGTATGTTTCGTTGCCTGGCAACCTATCTTTGTTTATTAGATCCAAACAAAATAGATAAAATTTCAAATTTAATCCCCCCCCCCCCCCAATCCCCTTCTTTGATATAGTAATATTAATGTTTCAAGATGTATTTTTAATATTCGTATAAATGTCTTTGTGGGGATGAGAATGATTAATTATAATGTTCATCTTAAATTAACTTACAAGAAATTATGTCAATTATGATTTATTTCAGAAGTTGAAAATTAGACACTAACAAAGATTGATAGGTTATCTCATTAGAACTTCTAAAAACTAGTCAGCTGATGACATCCGATATCATTTAATAGAGGCTACTGTTTGATTTGTCAAGATTGTACTAGTCTTTTTACAAACTGCATGTTTTGTGTGTAGTTATTGACTTTTTGGTGTAGATTAAATACAGTTGAAATAAAACATCTATCTGACATTTGCATCCCTTTGTTTAATTCAATTTAATCAAAAGTATTTTATGCCTTTTATTTTAGTAAGGATTGCATTGTATCTGTACTATTACACACTGAAGGTTTGTAATACATGTATAAAAGTACACTGGTTGTTCTAGACTACTATCAGGGTGACTGTAGGAGTTGGAACTACACAAGTAGTAGTGGCTAAGAGGCTATATTTATCTTTACTTTCCACCCTGTGCCTGCAGCTTTATTTAACATTTTATACAGGAGGACTGATATTTATCGTATTGCCAGGATAGTACCATTTTAATCTAACTAAAGTTAGTGTTGTAAGATAACTGCCATATTTTAAAATGGTGTAGTGTGAGGTACAATTTGTGTAGTACCATTGTGATTTGTTCATCCAATAATTGTGGTTCAATGGGCTACTAGTATTAATGAGGTTGATATATGGCCAACAGATATAATCGCTGACTGATATGAATGAAGTCTGTGAATGTAAATTTAGTGAATCAAAAAGATCTATTTTTAAGCAGAGAGCTAGTGACCTCGCTAGGAAATAAACCTTGTTTCTGGAGAACAAAGTTTATGGAAGAGCTTTAACTGAAGGCAGGATAATGTTCTGTGGTGCCTAGATTACATTTGGATAGTAGGCGTAATTTAATATTTATATAATCTTTTAGCAAATATCTTGCAATTTTATACCATGATGCCAGAGATTGATTCTCAGCCTGTACGTTACCGCAACAGTAGATTTAATGGAATTGAAGTAGATTCAACTTATCGTTCTGATAAATTGCAGCGAAGAAGTTTGGATGTGAAATCTATGTGTAAAGATTCAATTTATGATAAAACTATATCATGGTTACGGCATCTCAAACCCTTCTCAAAATCACGATCTTATGTCTGTGATTTTAGCCCAGTCTCAACATCTCCAAATCGTTGGAAAACATCAGCGTTATATGAAAAAAAAGAAACCCAGCTCAGGAAATGTTCAACTCTACCTAGAGATACTAAATTTTTAGGTAATTATTTTTAATAGGACATTTGACATCAGACTATATATTATGAACTGTTGGGATCAAAATAGTTTATTTCTTGAATTGTAAAATTCATTCAAATGTTGTCTGTATTCAACCTTTCCAACAAAAAGTAAGACAAAGAATATAATTGATAACATAATTGCACTGGCCTTGCTGAAGAACTGATCAATAAAATAGTGATCATTCTTTAACAGCATGACGGGGAAATCCAAGACTTAACAATTGACTCTGTAATGTTTAAAAGAAAGCCCATATCATTGCATTTAATTCTGAGAATACTACATTAACACAGATTGCTACTTGGAGGATAACAATGATAAAAATTTTATTGACCCTAATATTAGCTTTTGGAAATAATAGTGGCACACTTAATATTTCAAGAATTATTAAAGCCAAAGCAACATAAATATCTGCCAAGATTTAAGTATGATGAAAGTAAGATATGGGTAGTCTGTTGTTTTTTTTTTTTTAGAAAAGGTGACATTATTGTTAAAAAAAAAAATTCAATTTGATTAAATGAACTGGTTAATCCTGTTATCTATGTGGATAGTGGACCATATTTCTTCTTATTGTTTTTATACGCCCACATGGAAATGTGGTCGTTTATTGCCGTCGCCCCCGTCCGTCCGTCGTCCACAATTTCTTGTGAACACTCTACAGACTACATTTATCGTCTGATTAGTTTGAAATTGATATATATGTTGTTTGCATAAGTGAGATGAAGAAGCCTATTTAATTTCAATAACTTCCGTTAATTTCGTCTGGAGTTATGGCCCTTGTTTCACTTTGTTGCACCTTTTGAACGCTCTAATGACAAAAGTTATCAACCGATCTGTATGAAATTTATATGCATCATTTAAATTAGTAAAACAAAGAAGCCTATTTAATTTCAGCAATTTCTATTAATTACATCTAGAGTTATGGCCCTTGTTTTACTTTGTTGAATCTTGTGAACGCTCTAATGACAACAGTTATCATCCGATCTGTTTGAAATTGATATGCATCATTTAGATTAGTGAAACGAAGAATCCTATTGAATTTCAGCAATTTCCTTTAATTACGCCGTGAGTTATGGTCCTTGTTTCACTTTGTTGTACTTTGTTTATGCTCTAATGACAAAAGTTATTATCCGATCTGTATGAAATTTATATGCATCATTTAGATTAATAAAACAAAGAAGCTTATTGAATTTCAGCAATTTCCGTAATTACATCTAGAGTTATGGCCCTTGTTTCACTTTGTTGAATCTTTTGCACTCTCTAATGACAACAGTTATCATCCGATCTGTTTGAAATTGATATGCATCATTTAAATTAGTGCAACGGAGATGCCTATTGAATTTCAACAATTTCCGTTAATTACACCATGAGTAATGGCCCTTTTTCACTTTGTTGTACCTTGTGAATGCTTTAACGACAAAAGTTATTATCCGATCTGTATGAAATTTATAGGCATCGTTTAAATTAGTAAATCGAACAAGCCTATTGAGTTTCAGCAAATTTCCGTTAATTACATCTAGAGTTATGGCCCTTGTTTCACATTGTTGAATCTTGTGAACGCTTGAACGACAAAAGTTATCACCCAATCTGTATGAAATTTATATGCACCATTTAAATTAGTGAAATGAAGAAGCCTATTGAATGTCAGCAATTTCTGTCAATTACTTCTTGTTTTACTTTGTTGAACCTTATGAACGTTCGAACGACAAAAGTTATCATCCGATCTGTATGAAATTGATATGTATTATTTGAATTAGTAAAACAAAAAAGTCTGTCGAATTTCAACAATTTCTGTAGATTACTTCCAGAGTTACAGCCCTTGTTTTAGTTTTTAGAACCTTGTGAACCCTCAAACGACGAAAATTATAATGTCATCTGTATGAAATTGTCTATTAAATGCCTCCTAATTACCTACAAAAGAACAAAATTACGACAACTATGGTCGACCGCTCGGACGATTTAGCGTCTGTGGGCGTATGTTTAGTTGCCTGGCAACCTATCTTCATTATAAGCTATGCCAAACTATATTGTAAGCTGTTTGTTATTCTGAAGAATATTGTTAGGAATCGGGTTGCTTTTTATGTTGTACATTTGGTCTGAAAGATTGTGGAGTAAACCCAGGAATCCATCAAAATATTTTTTTTCATTTAGTCTTTAAACTGGATACATTTATACACAGTACAGTAGGTAGAATTCGACCTTATGTTAGGTGAAATTGTATAGTAGTTACATGTACATCTGGCATTTACCTGGTTCCAATGGTGCCATCCTTTAAATACTTCTAAAATTATATGAATAAGACATGGTATCGATTAATATTACTAGTGGGTGGCCTTTATATTCGTAGTATTGGCTCACTAACTAGAAGGTTCCGGTGTTTGATCCTGGTGTTGGTGAAGAAAGTTCCTTTGAACTTTCCAGCATGGTTTTCCCTTGTCAGTGGTGCAGGACAGGAGGGCCTGACAAGAACAGTGTCTGTCTTAATGGGATGAAAAACTGAAGCCCTTTGGACGTAAAAGAACCCTTGCCAGTTGGAATTTAATGTATATACGAGTAGGTCATAGTGCCTCTGTTCGGGCCAAATTTCCCTCATACATGTAGCACATTGTATGGTAGACGCCCATTTTCATTAGCAGAAAAGTAGGACTTTAAACCCCATTTCATTTCATTTCACTTCACCAAAATTCATTATCCCCCACCTTTCACACATAAACACTATCAATGCATATTTAATTAGCCTACTGTAATCTGATTGGTCAATCCTTTGAAACTTTGAAAGTGAACTCTGCCTAATGAGTGCAAGGTTAGTAATGGTCATGATATTGGTACAAGATCTTGTCTTTAGTAAGACCATAAAAAGTTGCAGGTGTCTGATAAAACGTTCTGTTCAAATTAAGACATAAGTAGGTAAATAGGTCGGCAAATAATCTAGAAAGGTTCAAATTGAAATAACTGGTGGCAAATTGTATGACTATTTCCCTCAAATTATGAATACAAACACGATTATAATTAATGTCACGCTGTTCTAACATTGACTTCATTAAAATGTTGAAATTATGCAGATGTATGGACTGTCATTGCCAATAAGTGTAGGTAATGTACTAATTATTTACCTATTATTTACCTATGTACCAGTTGTAATTCATTAAGATTGATGGGCAAGAGTTGGGAGGTTAATTAGATAAATGACAGATTCAAGGGCGTGGATTTGTCATAACTTTTGGGGGGGACGGACGAACCCTTTCATTACCAAACATAAATAATAATTACTAACAGTTTACCAGTGCTATTTCAATGAAAGCTGTAACTAGGGGTAATATGATGACGATATGGTAAAATTGACTACCTACAATTAAGGAGGAAGATATCGTGAAGATGAATTACTGTGACAGGACCCAAGGCAGTGGTTAGATAGCCTTCAGAACGGGACATTCATGTGGATATAAACCTGAAAATCTGTCCTGGCGATCAAAATCATAGGGGGGACAGAGACCTATTCGTCCCCCTGTTCCGATTCTAAGTGGGGGACCTGTCCCGCCCCACCCCCCTAAATCCACGCCCATGCACAGATTAACCCCATGATTATCGTAATAAAAATATTGATAGTCCTCTCATACATAGAATATATGTAATTCATAATACATAACATGGTATATGGCGGGATTTAAGGGCCAAACCTAAATGTATGTTGAAAGTGTTATTATACATCATAGAAAATACCTAATACCTAAGATGCAAAATACATATGTCCTTATACTTATAATGATGAATACATAATACCGTTAAAGTAAAAGTCAAATTACAAATGTTTTTTGGAAAAAATCCACTATACACTTCAACAAAGCAACTTTGCAAAATGACATTTGTCTTTTAACCCATCTTGAGTTCTTGAGGTCAACAGTCAACGTTTAAAGGTCATGGGGTTATATGTAAAATTGTTAAAATGAATTTAATGCTCCCAAGAAGGAAAGACAACTCTCAATGACATTGGGAAAATAAAGCAGACGGCAATGGTTGAGGAAATTTTATCAGATTTTCACAGTAGAATTACAAATATATTGATTTTCAATGAATTTTTATGACTTAAACAGTTAAATCCATGATATTAAAAGCTTTGCATACAAAACGTTAGCATGGGGCAGAACTTTATAAAAACCAAACAAATTCTAATAGTTTTCTGATAATTACTTCGTGAGTTGTTGCTCTTAATCAGATTTTAGTGTATTATAAATGTTTCATTGCCGAAAAAAGTAAAAATATGCGACAACCCTTGTTGACTGCCCGGACGATTTAGTTGCTGTGGGCGTATGTTTCGTTGCCTGGCAACCTATCATAAAGACAATGTATTTCCTACAAGATAAAGAATATCAATAAACAATATGTGATAATTAAATAGTCTTGTATAATTGTCATCATGGTTTTCTGATTATTGCTTGATATAAAGACATACAATCTACTTGTAAATACTTCTTCAGTATCTATATTATATTACACAATTCCTTTTCAGTTAATCATACAAATTCTAGACATGCCTAATGGTACTATAACAATTCATATCAATGGAATGCACTAGAAGGAAATTTAGCTTGTTCTTTTTTACAAATAATTTGTTCATGCATAATGTGAAAAGCATATTGTAACAGAAAGAACTAAAACCCTCTGGATACCAAAGAAATTCAAAGAAAAAAAAATGAATTTTTAGTAAACTAGTAAATGGACACATTTAAATTTAGAAAGATGAATTTAAATTTATTTTGTATGCAATTTCATGTTATACGTATTGTTTAATGGTCGAGAGCGAGACATTAAGTAATATATTGTAACAAAATTCGAACTCAGTCATCCTTAGGGTGTAACGGTGATATAATAATACGGTTTTTTTAAATCGGATAAAAATAATGACCTCTATAGGGTCCACAAGCTAAAAACGCGATTTTTCGTACAATCAGGGGCCATAATTCAGGAAGTTATGGTCTGATAAGC